TTGTAAACAGGAAGTAGTTTGTCATCTGTTGTAAACAGGAAGTAGTTTTGTCATCTGTTGTAAACAGGAAGTAGTTTGTCATCTGTTGTAAACAGGAAGTAGTTTTGTCATCTGTTGTAAACAGGAAGTAGTTTGTCATCTGTTGTAAACAGGAAGTAGTTTTGTCATCTGTTGTAAACAGGAAGTAGTTTGATGTCATCAGTAGTAAACAGGAAGTAGTTTGATGTCATTAGTAGTAAACAGGAAGTAGTTTGATGTCATCAGTAGTAAACAGGTAGTAGTTTGATGTAATCAGTAGTAAACAGGTAGTAGTTTGATGTCATCAGTAGTAAACAGGAAGTAGTTTTATGCCATGTTTTAAACAGGAAGTAGTGTAATGTCATCAGTAGTGAACAAGTAGTAGTTTTGTCATCTGTTGTAAACAGGAAGTAGTTTGATGTCATCAGCAGTAAACAGGAAGTAGTTTGATGTCATCAGTAGTAAACAGGAAGTAGTTTTGTCATCAGTAGTAAACAGGAAGTAGTTTTGTCATCTGTTGTGAACAGGGAGTAGTCTGACATCATCAGTAACAAACACGAAGTGCTCTGATGTCACAGGAAGTCGTTTTTTTGGGATTTTATTTACTGTGATGATGTGATTGTGTGTGTCGCAGTTCACGCCCTCTGGTGGTACGAGAGCGCCGACCAGCGAGCTGAAGTCCGACACAAAGCCCACAACGACGCCAGAGTGGTCGCCGCAGGTGAGGCTCCGCCCGCAGGCTCAGTGACATCACACCGATGGATCAGTCACTAACYGCTGTGCGTGTGTTTCAGTCAGGAACAGTGTCAGCCATCTTGACACTCAGAGGAATCAGCTGATGTTCCCGTGTCCGTTCTCCCCCATGAGCTGAAATCTCGTCTCCATGGCAACAGCTGGTGTTTGTACCTTTTAAGCCCCGCCTCTTTTCCTGGACAAGACGGTCCGGCTGTAATCCTGAGCTCCTGGCAGTGGGCGGAGCTTAATATAGAACTTCCTGAACTGTGACTTTAAGAGTTTCTGCTATAAATTATCTAAGAACAATAAAGTGAGACTGTTTGAACGTTTGGAAATATTTTATTTTTATAAAACGGAAACAAAAAAAACTGACATTAAAAAATGCAGAGTTTGGGCAATGTGTCCTCCAGGTGATCTACCTCAGGTAGAGCTACGTTACCATGGTAAGCAGTGACTCAGCAGGTTTTTCCATCATGGCCGCCCCCATAGATCCTGTATAATTTCAGATATTTGATGCTCAGAAGGATGAAGTCGGACAGTCAGGATGAAATCTCCAAGACCRAAAGAAAAAAGGGAAGAGGTTTTGTCCTGGAGTTTCAAAATAAGAGTCTCTTTGTCTTGATTTAAAATTTGACAGAAGTTCCAAATTCCTGTTGGGTTTTTAGAAAAGAAAGTTGATGGATGTTTCAGCTGTTATTTGTGCAGAAAAGTTTTGTGTGTGTGTGTGTGTGTGTGTGNACCCACACACACACACACACACACACACACACACACACACACTACTGTCTGTTTTGACCTCAGAGTTTCATCTAATGTTTTTCTGGCAGAGTGAGACCTCTCCGCTCTCTGTCTCCTCTCTACAGCCTTGTGCGCGCGCCTCTACGGGGCCCCAGCAGGAACACAGAACCTTCTACGAGTTCCGCACCTAYAGCATCCGCCCGGACCAGAACGCCGCCTTCCTGAAACTGACCAATGAGAAGATCCACCTGCGCACCGCCCACTCACAGCTCATTGGCTACTGGAGCGTGGAGTACGGCGGCCTGAACCAGGTCTTCCATATATGGAAGTACGGTGAGGGGTCTTCCTCTGCTGCTGTTACAGACACTCCTCTTCCTCAGATGGTTTTAAAAAACTATTAAAAAGTTCAGTTGCTTCTCCCTCACCTGCCTTTCAATGACCTTTGACCCCTCAGACAGTTACGCCCAGCGGGCAGCGGTCCGGGCAGCCCTGGCTCAGGACCCTACCTGGGTCTCAGAGTACATCTCAAAGGCTTTACCCATGCTGACGTGTCAGGACAACGAGGTCACSTACCTGGTTCCCTGGAGCCGCCTGCTGAACCCGCAGCAAGAAGGTGGTAAGTCCCGCCCCCCCACTCAGCTGCGTATGACATCATCACGCCGACCCKACTCTTACGGCAGGTGTTTGTGTTACAGGTGTGTACGAGCTGGTTTCCTTCCAGATGCGTCCCGGGGGACCGGCGGTCTGGGGCAGCGCCTTCCAGGCMGCCGTCACCTCCCGCGATGCGCCGGGGTACGGGAAGCTGCTGGGGGCGTTCCACAGTGAGTTCGGACTGCAGAACCGAGGTACGAGATGTGACATCACACGTCACCTGGCAAGTTTAAAGTTCAAACAGGAAGCAACAATATCAAACAGGAAGTAGTCTGATGTCATCTGTAGTAAACAGGAAGTAGTTTTATTATCTGTTGTAAACAGGAAGTAGTGTGATGTCATCAGTAGTAAACAGGAAGTAGTTTTGTCATCTGTTGTAAACAGGATGTAGTGTAATGTCATCAGTAGTACACAAGAAATAGTTTTTTCATCTGTTGTAAAACGGAAGTAGTTTGATGTCATCAATTGTAAACAGGAAGTAGTTTTATGCCATGTTTTAAACAGGAAGTAGTTTGATGTCATCAGCAGTAAACAGGAAGTAGTTTGTCATCTGTTGTAAACAGGAAGTAGTTTTGTCATCTGTTGTAAACAGGAAGTAGTTTTGTCATCTGTTGTAAACAGGAAGTAGTTTGATGTCATCTGTTG